CAGCCACAACCTCCCTGGGCAACCTGGGACAGTGTCTCACCAACATCACAATAGAAAAATTTTCCCTAATATTCCCCTCCTTCAATGTGAACCCATATTCATATCATGACTGTATATTTAGTATCATGACTGTATATTTAGTATTCGTATCATGACTGTATATTTAGTATAATACTGTATATTTAGTAATGATATAGAAAACTTCAAAATGAGGTATTGTAATGCTGAGTACCTGCTGTCTGCCACTTTCCCCAATTGGAGGCATTGTACCTATGTGTGGTGTCCATAGGTACAGTGTCTCCTTCTGCTTGAGAGGTTGGAGTGGTTTTCTCTGCCTTGCAATTACTACCTACCTTTGAAAACATTGTCACTTACTGCAGGCAAAAGTGCTGTAGTTTTCATGTGCAAGTGTCACCTAAAAGGGAAAATGTCATGTGGCTCAGTAATCACTCAGAGCCTTTTGTTGTTATACCCTGGAGGGGGTTGACACACAAAAGCTTTCTTAGCTTTGTGGAGGATTTTACTTAGGGATTGATTATTAGTGTCAGTTTCCGATATTATAAGTAGCAAGGAATTATTTTGTATTCTTTTATTCTCCTGTGAAAATCAAAGAGTCATAGTTTTGCTAGGGTGGTGTTAACCTACGTGACTAGACAATCTCTTTAAAATCTGAAAACAAAAGAAAAACTTCCACAAAATATTATTGCTATCTGTAAATTGTTGAGCATTTTATCTGAAATTTGTCATGTGTATCAACCTGTAGTAATAATTTTCTTCCATTAAGTTCAGATCATCATAGTACAAAGTGATTAAAAAAGTTCAAATAATGAGGGTTTATATCTCTTTTTGGTTGAGGTGCTCATATTCTATGTTTATATTGCTCTTACTTCTTTTTCTACATACAGATTATACAAATTACTTTCTCTAAAATTTTGCTTTGTAACAGCTGTTACAATACAGAATTCTCATAGGAGCAAACATATATCTTGTACAAATATAGGTAAAAAAGACACTGTACATTACAAATTCATACCCTATTCTAAGAAAAAAAAGGGTTTTATTCCTCTCATACATATCAGTCTCCTAAAACCTCCTTTCAATTTGACTTAGTGCAAAATCTTTGATATTAAATGCAAAATTGAACCCCAAATATGAAATCATTTTCAAGTTGCCTCATGAGATCCATTTCTTTCTACCATTTCAGTCAATGACAAATGTCTGTTGTCTCTATAGATTATTTTCAGGCTTTGAAATATGGAAAAAGTTAATCATCTCATGTGCTGTGTTTCAAATAAAACTCTTCCTACTAATTAATAAATGCTTTTCTTGGGAAGGAGTTTGAGTGTTTCCGTGAAGCAGATGATGAGAGATGCTGCCCTTCACTGTTTATACAGAAGTCTGTTAATACTTATTCCTTTCACTAACAATCTGAGCACTGATGGGAAAATACTCTGCTGTGTTCATATGTAAATCTTGGAAATGGATTCCAGCAGTGCAAGAAATATTCCATGCAAGCAGAGAATTGAGAGGTTTGCTCGTCGTGTACATTTTCCCAGAATCAAATCTCTGGTTATAAATTATTCATTACCAGTATAGAAAATGTATTTGCTTATGTTTTGCAAATCAATATAGAAACAGGACAAATGGGTTTTGCATGTGAATTACTTTTTCCACAAATTATTTCCTTTACATGTTTTATCATATCATGAAATTCCTCTTCCTGGCCTGTTGACAATAAAAGGAGTCAAACATCAGTGATTTGCTAATGTCTATTCAAGCTTACACTTTGAAAAATATTCAAGATAGGACTCTTAAGAGTCCACATAAATCCTAACCTTTGATTTGCCTAAGTATAACATTGCTGGAGAAAGGATGCAATTGCTGTAGACCTGCTTTTATTATGCCTTTCCTACAACTTCAAAAGGAAAAATTCTGCCTACTTAGAAAAAAAAAGAAAAAAAATTTCTCTTAAAAAGAAAATCTTTATATTTTGCAAGTTAGTGTGTTTGCCTTTGTGATACTCATTCATTGATGGGGAGGGTGTGTCTAAAATATTTTATGCAAGTTCTGCTAAACTTAAGGTTGTTACTTTTCTTTATTCAGAACCTCAGACATGCACTTTGAAAGACTTTCTTTGTGCAAATGGAGACTGTGTTTCAGCAAGATTCTGGTGTGATGGAGATTATGACTGTGCAGATGGCTCAGATGAGGTAGGCTTCTCCCAGAAAAAATACTGCTTTGGAAATTCAGTCATGTTAGAATGTTGGAGAATGGATTCCTGCATACAAATATTTTTAAAAGCAGCAATGGGAGCTGTACACCAAAATCCATGAATGCAATTATCATTACTAACTTAAAACTGATTGAAGTAGTCATTCTAAAAAAGAGAACATGCAAATAAAATAGTATTTCACAATATTTGTCATCTTTTTGTCCCAGCAATGATCTGGACATGTTAGAATGTTGGAGAATGGATTCCTGCATACAAATATTTTTAAAAGCAGCAATGGGAGCTGTACACCAAAATCCATGAATGCAATTATCATTACTAACTTAAAACTGATTGAAGTAGTCATTCTAAAAAAGAGAACATGCAAATAAAATAGTATTTCACAATATTTGTCATCTTTTTGTCCCAGCAATGATCTGGACCCCAT